TCTGACGAACTGCGTTTACGTCGCATGTTAGCACCCTAACCCTAGGCTACAACCCTAACCAATAACCCTTTAGACGAGTTTCTATACAATATGCATTATGAATTCAGAGCCCCTGAACCTTTATCAAACCTTAACAAGTTTTTAAATCATGTAAATGAAGAATATCCATTGTAATTCATTACTTACTTACAATATATTCTCACTTTATACTGTCTTCTGATTGGCTAATAACTATCAAGGCCATTTAAGATTCGTTCAAAGGTCGTCGCTAAATTAGAGTCTCGCCTCGAAATGTATTAGGTGTTACTAGTAGGAGCGTTGTCAAACACTGAATACCTGTGACATCATCAGGACCAAGAAGAAATTCTTACCGAAAAAAACTGCAAGTTACAGTACAAAAGTGTGTACGTAGAAGCGTCTTTATACACGCATAAACCTTAAAAATGATTGTAATTCGGTGGTCCTATATCCGAGTTCCAGGGGGAAGATAGGAATCGTCCTAGGTGTTACAGACCTGTGGCGCTGCTTTTGATTTTATAGAAAGTTATATAGGTCCGAGTTAAGGAGTATATTAACGTCCATAAAGTCATTAATGAGGCGCAACACGGACTCGGAAAATGCATTTCTCGAACCAAAAATAAAATTTTCAATGTGGAACGAATGTGCGGAGTGATGGGACCATAAAGTTGCTGTGGATCTGCTATTCCTATATTTTGACACAAAGAATTATAATGTGCTAGACTCTTTTCTTTTAGCTAAAGTCAGGCTTTTTTACGAGGGAACTTAATATCGAGCTTAACTTCTTCACTTAAATTGACAGGATGAGATCAAACAGGACATAGACTACTTAAGAGATTTGACAGTGTTCTACACAAGGCTCTCCGTCATTATTATTACTCATAAATATCGTTCAATTAAACGTTAGTTTTTATCCACACAGAAAGTATGAAACCGTGGTAAGTGGTTAAAATTGAAACTAAAACATTCGACACACAAACCTTGAAATTAAATGTCATGAGGTAACGCACGAATACCTGATATCCCAGTAAGTCCACACTCGCCGTATCGGTTTAAAATGGAACGCTCTCCCGGAAGACGTGGTCACCCCCCTCTCAGTGAACAGCTTTGAGAGGCTCGAGAAACACGTGATCGAACTCCGCCTAACGTTCCCCGGGGCAACTATCTGATGCATATCTCGTAATTTGTCATTACTACCACTATTATTCTTACTAACCGATTTTTGTTCACCTTTCCCTATCTGTTATCCTTATACGTCTACCTGATCAGATATTTTGTGCCAGATATTCTTTTCCTCACTCTTCCAGTTATCTTCTCTTTGTCCCGATTTTACAATTTTTCATACAGCAACTCACTGATCTCCTGCCTGGCAATATGATAGTTGCTGGCTCTAGCAATCTCCATGGTCCAGAATAGGTGCATTCATTTATAACCAAGAAACATCAGTCACACGTTTGCCATATTCACTAGAATTAATGCTGTTGGGGAACCCCTAACTAATGTCCACTAATATTTGTTAGATCGATTTAGTAATTTTAAGACCTGGTTCAAAATGCTGAGAGTATTCGCTTTATGTAAACGGTTCATCCACAATATGAGATTAGACAGAAGACCGTTAATTCTTGGTAGATTGAGACTGGAAGAAATTTATAGTGTGAAGCAGGATATAATTATATTGGTTCAAACGATCTCATTTCTCACAGAGAGGGAGACATTAAGGCAAATACAGCATTAAGACGAGCACGGCAATACATATGAATCACAAGAAAGACCAAGGAGAGCAGGTGTATCTGTTTCGAATAAGGAAATGAAACTCCATCTAATGTCTGCTGGTAAGAAAATGGGAAGTAGCATTGCGCGTAGGAGTCCGACAAGTAATCTTTATTGCTTCGTAATATATAACGACGTGCGTGCCCTTCGAAATCAAACATCCGCTTATACTTCCTGGTAAACATTTTGTTACCGACTTGATGGTGATGCATTATCCTCCCTAGAACGCATATTCTGGTACTACTCACACCCTGAACAGTCTTCGCGAAGATTTCTGAGTCATCAAGCGGCTATTCGAATAGTCCTGAAACAGTGCTACCTATGCAAGAGACTCAACAGTACGCCGTGCACGCAGATTATGGATCCACCAACCGAACGTCTCCTGGAAGCACTCAATTATGTTGTAGACTATTTTTAACGTTAAGAAGCAAGTCGTTGGAAAACGATACGGCCGCTTGTTTACTTGCCTACCTATTAAGGCAGTTCACATCGAAATATGAACGCTTTGGACACTGACTCATTTTTATGCGCTCTCTCGAGATTCGTTGCTAGGCCAGGTCACACAAAACATGTATTTAGCGACAACGGTTCAAACTTCAGAGGAGCCGACACGTCTTAAACAGAATAAGACAGAAAATACCCTTTCGAAAAGAGGTTTTGAAAGGCAATTTAACCCTCCGAGAGCTAGTCATAGAGGCGGTATATGGGAACGCATCATAAAGTCACTAAGAATACTACGATCACTACTGTTTCAAAAGGTATTGACGGATGAATCTTTGGAGACGTTTTTAATAGCGGCTGAAGAAATACTGAGCAATTGACCACTCGCAGAGCCAGTTAGTGACTGTGACAACCTGTGTGTACCTACGCCAAAGAAGTTATTGTTAGTTTACAGAGGTGTATCATTAGACGAACTTCAGATGAGCAAAAAGTGCTTATATAACAGATGGGGGAAGCGAGACGACTAGCCAACCTATTTTGGAACAGATGGTTACGTGAGTACCTACCAACCCTTCAGACGAGATCCAAGTGGTTGGACATAAGGAATCTACAACCGGGAAACTTAGTGTTGGTAAACAATATTGGCTCACCGAGAAATCTGTGGCCGTAAGCTATAGTTAGACAGGCCAATTATGGCCCAGATGGAAGAGCCAGAACATTTCGAATAAAGACAGCAACCGAAGAGGTCAGCCGGGCACGGGACCTGTGCTTACTGAGAGAGGCCGATTATTTGAGTGCGACGGTAACGAAGCCTGGACGTGGTGCAGCTCAGAGGGAATGTTAGTTATGCCTATAACTAACCAATCAAATCGTCGTATAGGCGCCCACGAAGTTGATCTGGTCTGATGTGTCTGAAAACTATCCCTGCTGCATGTAACCTACCAATTGAAAAACATTATCATCCTATTATATTAGTGTTACTCATAATTTTATTCATTTCGAGAAGACACGCAATACTGGTCGGTATGTTTGTGCGTTTCAATTAATAACCGTAATTTCCCTAATTATTGTGCTAAACTAATTGTTTGCACGTTTAGAAACAGATAAAGTTTAAAACCAAGCTGTCCTTGTTCTGACCATAGCTTTCACATAGACTCTGTGATCGCCAGTATCACGTTTACGGTTCTAGTAGTATATCTGTAGGACAAATTAAATCCTACATGTGTTTGGTGCCCCCTTGTACCAATATTTATGTATTCAAATAAATAAATAAGATTTGAATGTGTCGACCGAATTATGAAAAACAAGTCACTAAAAGTGATTTCTATCTGATGATATTATTACTGAAAATGTACAACTATGTATGATGACATTATGAAAACGTTAACGACTGACTCCTGATAAATGTGTAAAAGTTCTACTACTTTAACTGCAACAAATCAACCATACGTGACTCTATTAAGGGTTTCTATTATTCTAGGTGCAATGTCTTAAGTCTGAATTTTTTTCAGTTTGAAACAGTTAAGAGTTACAGAAATATATCACAAGTTTTTTTGTAACAAAGTAACAATCGTAAACTAGAAATAAACAAAGCTAAGTGTAAAAATGTATGTACAAGCAAAATGTAAGTTACATGTAATCAATCTTATAAAGTGTCCTTCATACTGTACAATTAATGAGCAATTCTTTCAAAATTGATGAACATAGATTATAACCTAAAGTAAAAAGATTATTTAACCTCGAATATTCTTGACATACCAATAAATATTAATCTTGTTCCGTTTAGGTTAAGCAATTCAGCTCTTTCATTAGGTATTTGGGAAAGATCATAAATTTCGTTCAATCCCTGTAGACTGTAAGTACAATCATCATCTATGAAGCGAATAAATCCCTTTCAAAGAGGAGAAGACTCATTATGAACGTTGAGAACGACTTTGTCAACTAATAAAATTACATTAACATACACTATGAAAAACATTTTTAAATTATCGCTTCCTTAAAGACTAAGATGTCCCCTTACCGTTTTAAATAGAAAAGAGACGTATAGTTTTGACGATGATAGTTGCACAAAAGTAAGGCGTCGAGTGTATATATTACATAAAACACGTTACAAACCAAATTTTATTTGTAAAGATCCCAGAGATTGATGGAAAGTAACTGTGGCGTCCCACTCACTAGTCTGGTCTAAAAAAAATTTATGTAGTAAATCAAAACTATCAAATACGTTTAAGATCTCAAAACAACCATGCACTAGATAATTATCGAACCATATTAAAATGTTGAATATGCTTATTCGAGTAGTTTGATGTTAAATATTTTAAAGCTGTAGTACATGAATGTAGATTTTATTAGAATAAGGTATCCATAGGCTATGATCGGGATAAAATTAGTTATTCTGATAAAAATCTGAAAGTCGGACTTCTCAAACTATTTACAGAATTAGAGATAAACACCTAACTGCATAGATGCTGTGTTATTACTTTGATAGAAAGGGTGTCAAATGCAAATGTAAACATTATAATTACCTGAACAATTGAAGGTACATTCTTGTTGATGTCCAGAATGCATAATTTATAAACTATGAATGTAACGGTAGTGGATAAACTTTTATTTCCATTTATTAGTCATTAGTTATCATTGTTTCGATACGTATACACAATCCAGTCTACAAGAACTATTATAGGGTTGAGACATTAAAGAGGAAGAATGTATTTGTAAAATCTCAGAGAAAGAATTCGAAATCAAACGATTCGCCTGGCAATCTGGTCCAAGCTTTTAAAAAGAAAATATAATCAAACAACAAAATTATCGAATATAAATAGGTACATGATTCTCTGGTTTATTGTATACTGAATACGTCATCCAATCACGTGAACACTGTTTGAAGTAGGTATTTACATTAGTGTATGAGAGACATGTGGTGTGAAACGAAAATTGTTAAGATAACATATTGTGTGCTTCGTAGATATTGGATTTACTTCGAATTCTTTCTCTGAGATTTTACAAATACATTCTTCCTCTTTAATGTCTCACATTAACTCGGCGCCCAAATATTGTGAAACTATTCGTTCAAATTTAGACACAAGTTCTTATTTATTATAGGGTTGGTTTATATGTATGTGGCTTCCACTATCAGTCATTGTTTATAAGACGAAAATCCTTCCTTGAAGTATTTTGGGTTTTTAAAATCATTTTTATCTCTAGTCCCCACTGAATGTCATTCTATCCTAAGGTATTCTGAAGATTTAGGAATGCTTCAAGCATTGTTCTTTCACCCTCATCCTCACCTCCATATACGCCAATACAGTCAGTATATTTGATTTCGTAGTCACAATTTGTCTCCCCTACATTCAGTATTGCACACTCAACTTTCATTGATACAGAGGGCAGAATAATAGTGGACACATTCGTACTATAGTGGTAGATCCTAAGGAAAGTCGCATACGACATTAAATAACTCATTCTTATAACGAGAAACCTTCACTATTTAAAATGATTAATAGTAATTATGAAGAAAGCATTACCTTTAGGCGTAGAACATTCATTGGATTTCCGCTCTCACCGTGAACACTGTGCTCCCAAAGCATTGACTCTATAACATTTTCAAACAATTTACGACTGAATGGACGAGAAAACTCAAAGGTCAGTGTTGATATTCGCTGAAAATACGACACATTAAACGCTTTTGATTAAACATACTCTATTCAAATGAATTGATACCGATTTGGAAGACGGAACAAAAGCTTCCAGTTTAGGACTGCATTAAAAAAATTATAACAATAGGAAACTTAAATTAAAAACGACCATAACAATAGTTTTTAAATATGAGGAAGCCGTTTCTAGTCGAAATCAAAGTATACACACCATCAAAAAGTGAATGATATTTTGAAACAATATCAAGTTGATATGATAAAACCGCAAGAGCTTGAGGATTGAAGCTATGTAAAGAAGGTTATCATATTATTAATAACTTGGTATGCATATAATTACTGGTTTTGATTGGCCTTTACATCCTTTCAGTTGAACATCAAATATTGACGTAGGTTCTAATCTTATCCACAGCATCACTTCATACTAATAATGAGAATAAAGTGAAATTTAGGGGTCACGATATATCAGTTACATGGATATCTGGTTAGTCAATTTATGCTTTTAGCATCTAAAAGTTTGGTTCATTTAGCAAACATTAACGCATCTTGCAATATTTCACTGTTCTGAGGTTAACACGATTAGTTGTGCAACACAAATACCAGATTTCACCAACGACCATTAAAAAAAACGCAGTACATAATCACACCTAATATTGAATATGTCTCAATAACCAAATGTAAAACAAAGTGACTTGATGCTCGATTATGAAGACATCGGACTTTAACCCACTTAGTTCAATTAAAAATCTGGAAATCTTAGACTGAATTAGTACCTTAAATCAATGAACAACTCTCCTTATTTAAATTTCCAGGGTTGAACTTCTACCGGGAGGTTCACTTGTTGACTTAGAATATGCAGATGACATAGTTTTATTTGGTGAAGACGCTGACAAAATGCAGAGTCTTCTGACCACTCTAAGCAACAATGCAAGCATGTTCGGGATGCGATTCTCTCCCTCGAAATGCAAAATGTTGCTTCAGGATTGGGTTACATCGACACCCGAACTAGTGATAGGGAGTGAAGTAGTTGAGTGTGTCGACCGCTTCACTTATCTTGGAAGTCTCATCAGCCCTTGTGGTTTAGTGTGTGACGAAATCTCAGCACGGATACAGAAGGTTCGACTAGCTTTTGCCAACTTGGGTCATTTATGGCGTAGGCGAGATATCCGTCTATCAACCAAAGGACGTGTTTACTGCGCAGCAGTTCGTTCCGTCCTACTTTATGGCAGTGAAACATGACCGGTAAGAGTAGAGGATATCCGTAGGCTACTAGTATTTGATCATAGGTGTCTTCGAAACATTGCTCGTATATCATGGGACACAGTTGTTAGGAAACGGGTACTAGGTAAGGATGGCAAATCAATTGATGAAGTAGTGAAACTTCATCAGTTGAGATGGCTTGGACACGTGTTACGTATGCCCAACGACCGACTGCCTCGACGTGCTATGTTCAGTGGTATAGGAGTAGGTTGGAAGAAAGCTAGGGGCGGCCAAACCAAAACATGGCACAAGTCCATGAAGTCACTGACAAGTGGACTGAGTCATGTTGGTAGGTGTAGACTACCTGGTTGGGGACCGCGAGATGATAGCAACCGATGGTTAGAGACCCTGAATGACATGGCTCAAAATCGTTTGCAATGGCGCAGGTGCATCCACTCTCTGTGTTCTCCCAAATTCTAATCTTCTGAATCCTTCATGTCCCTTTTTTCCTCTTTCCAAATTTATTTCACTGTATTATACTCTTTAAATAACATCTCCAAACACTAATCTTCCCGATTACTGCTTATACTCTTATTACCTCTACCACTACGGGATTTGAATCGACAACTGCATCTCTGTGCTAATGTGGTGTGGCAACTCGAACTGATGTACGTACGTACGAAGTTCTACGTTGTTACTGACTGACTGACTGACTCCCTAAAATGAGACTCAAGTAAAGTAGTTATTTGCTCATTCCTAAACTTCAATAGTATCCTCACATAAATCAAAATGCATTTTATAATTATGAATACTTATGACAAGTTTCTATGACAGATAATCTGTTAGTCATGTACAGATAAAAACTTTTGGTAATAAATTTTTTTACTGTATTATTTTAACTAGTGTTAAATGATAATGGTTAGTCGTTCAGCATTATAGGGTGTTTAGTGACCCCAACTAACTATACGCGATATGGTCAAAATTATAAATTCCTTTTAATTTGGATGTACCGTCTGTTTTATTTTCGAGTTAGAATATGTGTACTTCACAGTGCTTGTGACTCAAGTATGGCAAAGAATCCCTCGATGTGTATATTACTCTAAAATGCGTGCACCGCTGTGGTTAACATATGGTCAGCGCCGTGTCTTAAATAGAGCACAAGATTCAGAAGTACGGTGTATTGTATACAGAACATAACACGGAAATCAAATAGTGGACCTGACACGTGATAAGTTGTATGTACATGAACAAAACATGTTGAATACAAATACAACAACGTATGCAGTATCACAAGAACTACAGTACGTCTAGTATTTTGTCGAGACAATAAAGACTAATTTTTTCCCTCATTATACTACTCAGCCCATACCAGTTACGTAGAGTTTCGGAAATAACAAAATAGAGAGGGAAGCGCACACAACACAGTATCTTAAAATCTCACATATGTAAATCAATAATCATGTTCAAACTACAATCGAAGAAATCAGAGATGAAAAATCTAACCAAACACATATTAAACCAACCTGTTAGAATACATCTGAAGATCGAGAATTTCTTCCAAATTCACCCTACAAGTAAATGGATTAAAAACTCAGATTCTAACTTCAGAATGAATTCTAGAAGAATAATATTCAATCTGTTAAAAATCAAAAATGTGATTGTTCAATCTCATTGAGTATCTGGCACTGACGCACAAAATGATAAATAAAGCATTCTAAAACAAAAGAAACAAAACTCTAATAGGCGCTGACAAAGTCAATTTGTCAGTCAAAACAATACTTAACACTATGATATGATAGTATCAGTAAAGAGAGTTTACATTCTTAGACATTTAGAATACTTCAACTAACTTTGCATTATCTATCAGACAGTCTAAGCACTTCAAAAAATAACAAAAGCAACTGCTGTCGATACTCAGAGGATTAGATTTACTAGGTTCAAAATATCCTTAGAGAAATCAACCATCGATATTTGCATTTTCAATATCACTGATGTGAACGTGGAACTAAGTCCAAAATTTAGGAAGTTATGTGCACAGCAATTATAGGGAAACGGTAAATATATAGACAGAACGACAGCTAAGAGTCCATTATTCATCAAATAATTTATCATCCTCATAACAGTTATATAATCATTTCGAGAATCAACGACAGGTTCTAATTGAATTTGTTCTTTTTTTCATTGTCTCGTTGCTGATATTCCGAATGTTATTTCATCAATTCTATTTGGCATATATGCACCCTATGCGAATTGCCTCGAAACAGCTATTTTGACACACGTTTACATGGAATAGATGGATGTGGCTAGTAATGGGATCCAAGTCATTACAAATGAGACTAAAATTTATATCCGTTGTACAAGCGAGTGGCTAACTGGACTCAATACTTAACTAGATAAAGCGTTAGCATTTGAAATGAAAGATACAAAGGTTGGAGTCCTAGGATGGACATTAACTCTGGGATGCAGGTAGATTCAACTGACGAGTACCAAATAGAACGACACCCTCGTCCCGCATACCACCAGTAGCCATATTCGATCCCTTCTCTATAAAACACAGATTCCGTTAAAATCCCTCTTAGACCATGTCATAGATTAAACAAAAGTTTTAGCAAGATAAAGCTCTGACTATTTTATGCTTACGTACGGATTGAATCAAGACAGATTGGTTGGTATATTTTCCATCAATCACCACTGGTAGAGAGCTTGAGAAGATACTACAAGATTCCTGTGTAAATTTCTAGATAAACTCCATTTTGTTTGCACCCGATTCTGGGACTGATTTAGAAATAATCGAAGGGAAATAATACAGACTGTTGCTAAGATTTTCAGTTGTGGAATGGTGGCTTAATGGTTCAAATACTCACCATTCAACCAATAAGTTGCAAGTTTGACCTTTGCTCCACCTATTTCGCTTTAGGTAGCCGGGTAATATCATGAGCCCTGGTGCAATTTGGATTAAAGCTGAGTAGGCAAACGAGCTACATAAAAGGCTTTTGACTAACATTTTTTTCAATTAAACAAATTATGCTATTAAAAAGCACTTTCGTCAAACTTTTAACTATGTTCCATTTTTTCATCAATATATTACTAATCGAAATAATATAAAAAATCAGAAAAGCAAATCAGCATCGACTACCCTGAGGATAGTCTTTAAAAATTACTTATAAAGTGCATAGTTAAAGTTCATTTAGATCTCAACATTAATTATAAGCAAATTGATGACGTCGATGTAGGTTTACGTTTAGACCCAACTTTCACCGATTTTTTCCTAGCCAATTTAGAAGACGAAATCTTTCAGGAGGTTACTGAGGAAAAAGATTTATACTTTGGTATGGCCGAGGATGAGGAAAGTCCACTCTCCCTTTCGAAATTTTCACACATGGCCATGAATATTCAGCCAGTGCCTGCATTCTACGGTATTAATGTTGTTTACGAAGTTTGGAGGACGAAAAGGGGATGTTCGGCGCTTTAACCGAAGTGTGGTACATATATATTTGGTGCCTCCTAGTACCAATGTTTGTGCCTAAATAAATGGAAAATATTCTTACATAGATGATAAACTCATTACTATTGATAAGAGTAAAAATGGAGAAGAGCTTTTAAACCATAACGAAGGAATAATAGTTCACGATAACATGGGAAAAAGACGTTAAGGATATGGACAGCTTACGAGAAACCTCTGTACTTAAAACTATAATTCAACGGCGAGGAAGCTAGCGATATTCTATATGATAAACTAGTAAGGAAGATTAGAAGGATATTATACAGAGCTAGAGTCTTAGTTTTCTTTTTTCTAGTGTACTAATCGCGTCTATCCAAATAAGGATAAGCCAACTAATTTTTCTTTTTTGATGTATAACCAATTTACCTAATTCTGTGGATAAAACCATTTCGAGCGTACCATCAGGCTACTTAACCAAAAGATGAGTGGTCAGCTCTTAATGTGGTTCGGGAAGAGCCAAATGAAAACAAGACGTGGCTCAATATTATTACAATTGGTTGACAGTAGTTACGCAGTAAGCAACACTAAACAGTCACGACTGACCCACAATCCACCTTTGCAGTTTTTCAACGAGGTTAGGTTTCGTCTACTACATATAGCAGGAGCAGGGTTTGAGTCCACAATTGTAGTTTACTTATTCGGAAGTGTCATTTTCTTAGCCTGGTAAGACTTCATAGACGACCGTATAAGCTTTTCACATTCATTGCTTGTTTGATTTTCGACAACCTCGTCAATAGATCACTACCTATATATTTGTGCACTTACCACTGTAATTTTACGAATTGTTAATAATTGTTAATTTTATGTTTATTTTTTTCGAATTTTGACCTATTTCCTGTGTTGAAGCATTCAGCTGATTTATATGTAACAAATTTAGAGAATGAAATCATCGAAGAAGTTACGGATAAATTAGATTGATACTATACTGTTATAAAATGCTGATCAGTCGACTATCCAGAAAAAAATGCTTCCAACATATTAAATTCTGTATACCAGCTAACTACGCTCATATGATTTTGAGATGATAAAGAAGATTTTTAGCTCGTGTGGATGGTTTCTATAGAGCTTTGTTCTCTGAGCTGGATGGTTTGGTCGTGAAGCTTTCATCGTTCTTCTGAACGACATTAGTACAAACTTTAGGTAGAAGTGAAGTGTTCGAATTTCTCCACATGATGTTTACAGCCTGTCATGTACACCTCGATGTTGATTGGTTATCGTTGGCCTTAAACTTGTGATTGTTTACTTCTTTGTTTTCGTTGCATCTCCCATTGGTTTGATTTTTGTCCTTAAGGACAGCTAACTACGTTTTACCAGTCAAAAATTTTAGTACAATTCAACCTAGGAAGGTAAGTAATTTAATGGTAACTGTAACTCCGAGAGAAATATCCTAGCTTCCATTCTCATTCCCACTAATTCTACTCACAACTATTTGATAATGCTTGTTCTTGCCTTATGTCATTTGTCTATTCCCTTTGAATCACATTATGTATATTCTTTTACTTTTCTACTCATACAGAAACCCGCTTATGGTGGAAATCTATCACTATTTAAATGATTTCAAGTCGCCGACTGATCGAAGTTGGATGCTATCACCGAATACGAATTCTGAACCAGCCTTTCTGAAACCACGTATGCTATTCAAACTGGCTCCGTTCAACGTTAGTACACTAATGCAGATAGGACAACAGACAGTGTTGTTCATGTCTTTAAAAAGTCTCAACATTGATGCCTGCTACTTATCTGAAACTTATATTCAAGACTCTAGTGAACTACTACATATTCAGTCTCCACCTATCACTGCCAAAAACTTGTTTAACATAGTTCTGTCCAAAAACTCTGTGGCAGCTTCGTTTGATTCTTCAGGAGTGTGTGTCTCACTAAGCACTAGAGTAGAACCAACACTAATCGACTGGATCCTGACTAACAGTCAATTATGCGCTGTCAGATTAAAAACTCCATCAAATTAAGAAATAGATGATAAACAAAGCCTTTACGTCGTTTTGAGTATGTGGATGATTTTGTCTTAATGCGTGACGATACCTTAGCCATACAATCCGCACTTAGCCAGTTGGCAGTCAGTGTCCGTAGGTATGGCATGTGCTTTGCACCAATCAAGTGCATAGTATTTTAACAAGATTGGCAAAACCCTGAACCTGAACTCACTCTGGGTAGTAAGCGGATAGAAGTAGTCGAGCAGTTCGTGTATCCGGTAGCTGCGTATATACTGGCGATGGTGTGAGTGATGAGATCAATTCACATACAGTAAAAGCCAGAGCGAGTTATGCCAATCTAGACCATCTTTGACGCCTTCGTGATGTTAGTCTGGCTGTAAACGGTCGGAGCTACAACGCGTCGGCGAGAGCAGTTCTGCCCTATATTTGTAAGACCTGGCCCCTCCCAGTTGATGATGTTAGACGACTCTTTGTGTTTGATCATCGTTGTCTCCGAAGGATTGCCGACATCCAGTGGCAACACCATATTGGTAATGCAGAGGTTCGGTGTCGTGTGTTTGAGTACAGAGACGATATTTCAAGTAGTGTCGCCATCTTGAAACACCGACTTTGGTGGCTCGGGCACGTCTTACGAATGTCGATGCTGGGACTGGTTGAAAAAAATGAGGTGGTCAGTGTATGACATGGTGTTGTGGTATGAATTAATGCTGCATAGGACTGGCATCTGTCGGTCCCTCGTGATTGCCTGGTTGGGGTCTCATAGATGGTGTAACACAGTAGCTAGATGTTATCAGATGTGGACCGGAATAGAAACCAGTGGCGATCCTTCTGTAACTTCCTTTTACTCTCTTTATAAAAGTGAACATAACTTCTTTGACTGAAATTATATTTTTTGGTTGCATTTCGCTTGGCCGAACTGCTTCTCCGATTATTATTATTATTAAACTGTCACATGCTAATTTCTTTTCGTTGTTGTTCTTTTTATTACACGTTCTTTACATTCTCTATCTCTTCACAACCTCATTTTCAATATATATATATAGTGTCCCCTTGTACCAATATTTATGTGTCTAAATATATAAGCAGATAATGGAGTCTATTGAATTTTCGTTAGATCTTAATCCTATGGAAGCCAACTCTAACAAAAGAGCAAATTACTTCATGCAACATCACCACCTAAAACAGATTGCTGTAAGTTAAAAACTATTGAAAATGAATGTTTATTCAGGTAATCTTTTAAAAACGAGACTTACTTGCAATAATTAGTTTCAATGAGCCTAGCAGAATTATTGATATCTCTATGGTAAACGAAAATATGAAAACAAAAGCCTTTAGAAACAAAAATGACATGGAGCTGAACAAAATGCTAAGACGTTTTATGGTGGTTATAGGTAACCAACGAAATGAGTGAACCAAGATATTGAGTGAGTGGTTGACATAATCTCGCAAGCATCAAGAACGACACAAAACGATAGTAGCTACCAATAGGCGACTAATTAGTGTGGATTTTAGCCTCATGACATCTACGAGCAGTAACATGTGCTTCTAATCTCAATGACATTGTAATACTTCAAAATACTTCTAACTCGCTGTATGGCGCTGAGATACCATACCGAAGTAAATTCGCATAATTATGGACGTCGTTCGTATCTTTAGCGAGAGGGATGAGAAGCCAGTTTTCTGCATTGGTGATCGATCTGAGCACAGCAAAAACCAGAGTGCCTTATGCCACTCTAAGCTACATTTGGTCCCGGTGTATCCTTAATTTGACTGTAAAGTCAGGTATATAACTGGTCGACGAGAGCAGAACGTGCGAAACATACCGCCCTCAAACTGAGGATGCTGTCGAATTTATGTTTAGCCGATTTTACTTCAGGAAAACTGCTCACGTCCGATGTCAACAACTTCCATGTAATGCCGGAGTCTGGTAATGTGTATTTGCTCACACTGAACATAATTAGTATCACCATATTGAAAAGCCTACTTCCGTAGCTTATACATATTTTACGAATATTAAACCAACTTAAACAAGGTGTATTGCCTTCCTGAGACTGTAATTGGCGGAGAGTGGAACACAGAAGTGGTCTGTTTATTACATGATAGTATGATATGAGCGGCAGCTGTATAGCACTGGCATGTATTGATTTGTGGCGACTCCTTGGTTTGCATTTGAGATCACACAACACTGTGGCTTGAAACACTACCAGCTATGGATCGAAACACAAACTAGTTGTGAGCTCATGGTAGTGTTCTATAACATTCATCATAAACGTAAAAAGAACCTTCTTGGGCTGATGAAATTAATCTTCATCGTATTTTTGACTGAACTGTATCTGCAAATAAATATTACTCTTCTTTATTTATTGAATTTCTATGTGACCACCTCCTACTTCTTTATTATAGTCCCATTATATCTTGTGTGAGACTGTCTATTAACGTCCAGTTGTATGGATGTTTTTAGTACGATACATTAAATGTTGAAAAGATTAGTTGTAATTATAATACCGTGTAAATGTAATGCACTATGGGTTGTGTTACTGGAATTTTTAAAATAGAATTGGACGCGTGGAAAATGAAATTGTTTAGAGACCCGTAAACAGCTTCAGTAACAGACACGCACGTACTACTTAATGACCTGGAAAACTGTATGACTGGACCATCAAAAAGTGACTTACCTAATACGCTGAACCACTTCTGATTTTTCTGAATCAGAAATCAAGTCAGTTTTGTTGACAATGAGTACATCAGCCAAAAGTACCTGTCTGGAATAAAAATAAGTGTCAAATATATTTAAGAACCTTTCATATTCACTCATCTCATCCCCAGTAGACTTCATAAGATGTGGCAAACAGTATTTTGAATCCAAAACTGTTACGATTCCATCGAGGCAAATTTGACTACATAAATCTTCGTCTAACCAGAAGAGTGATGCAACAGGACCTGGAAAATTGGGAAGATCATCTTTCAAGAACACAAATAACCTGGATCAGCAAGTCCAGATGTCTCAATTAGAATATAATCAAATTTTCCCTTCCGCTTCATTAAATTTTCAATGGCTCGTACACTTGCATCTTTTAAAGAACAGCATAAACAACCGTTACGCAATTCTATCCATTCTTCAAAGAGGTTGCCATCTTTTTCACTCCACGCAATACTAGACTCTACAGCTGAACCTTCTCCAAAATCATTTAAAAGAACAGCAATCTTTTTGTTATGAGCATAGGTTAGAATATAATTCAAAAGAGTAGTTTTTCCAGCACCTAAAATCAATTTGATAAATGTATTGTAGCTATCAATGCAACGTCAAAACGCAAATTATCGACAATGACGAAATATACGTTTGAAAATACAGTGGATACAAGTTGGTTGGCGTCCATTTATTTTCGAAGTCTGTCCTTTGGTGGACCAGGAGTGTATTAAAGTAGATTAATTTTAACTAATTAGTTGCTTGATCAAGATGTGTGAACAGCTTGCACAGCGGTATACTCTATGCACGTTAACACCATAGATTTAGCGAACGTAAAAACCAGTGGTTAGAAAGTACTTGCATTTAGTAGAATCCCTTTCTATAAAGACATTAAGGTAAATGATATTTTGCGGCAATAAAATCACAACGAACATTAGGAGCTATGTATCTTAAAATGTTGCACCGCATAGATGGTAAGAATGTAACTTTATATCACAATGTATTCTGTGTCATTCAAATACTTAACACATTGACAAAATGCTTATTTCCAACTGCATCAACTGAACAGACTATCTATCAGTGTGGCGCAGATATATTTGGTGCCCCCTTGTACCAATATTTGTGTTCAAATAAATAAGTAAATAAACAGACTGTCAGATTAGGTATTCCTTGTCGCTTAATTTCAGGGTTTACTATATCTTAAAACGTCTTATTACAGTATTCATAATGATTAAATCGTATTCAGACATGCTAATTCCAATTACGTCGACATGTAAAATTGAGGCGAGCACCTAAATGCCTTTATCACTTACAATACAGATATCTGTACTATGATTTTACGTCTACATTCGAAAACCGATGAGACAAATTTGCGTTTAGAATTTTCGAGAACAACACAAGAATGGTACGTTAAAAGACTATTAACCAAACAGTAGTAGCTGAAGAAAAAATTCGCCCAGAGAAATAAAGAATAATGCTCAAACGTCCGTTACTAACATGATGAACCATCACATCTAAAAACAATCCATAAGGCAGTATTCTCATGTCTAATTCAAGTGAGAAGACCGGAATCAGACTGAGTATGTTTAGGGATATGATGAACTGTAACAAAAGAAAATACCACTTATATGATTACCAAACTTAGATTTCTAGAGGACTTCAAAAAGCGAAGTTCGGACAATATAAAATGAAAACTAACCAAGGTATCCTGACAGAATCGTCACAGGGACTTTGTCCAAAGTGGGTGAACTCAAATTCGTATCACGTACTAAGTCAGGAATAATGTCATCCATTAGTAAGGGTATTGTATTGAACCTTGTAGATACTACACAACTCTAATCAAGCCTTTGAATACTGATGATAATTTGAATATAGAGTGGCCTGGTACTTCTGAAAACAAAGAGGAACTATGTTAATACTAAATATGCAATGTTGAAGCAGGAAATCATTAAGACCAGGTTCACAAAAGAAAGTAAACGTCATATACCATGATCAAAAATTAGAACTGTCCATTACATAAAGTCAACTCGGTATGTAGTCTCTCGACGGTTTCTCACGATTCCAAATCGGATGCTGAGCATAAGGTTGGCAACCTCACCTCGTGGAAAAACCTTTCTAAAATTGGTCAACCAGAAAATAACACTAAGACCGTTTAAACTCTGCCCTGGGAGTTGGAGGGTCTTTAAATAGAAGGGTTATGACGCTGTATGGTGTAAGCTGATACTTGGAAGTCAAGGACTAATGCTCCTTCTGACAACCACAACAATTAATATCGGTATTAGGAACATCCGAAAAATGTGGAGGATCAGAAGTATCATTCAAATAACACTGGGCATGAGAGGATACAACTTGGCAGTGCTTGAAATACACGAAACCGACAAGAAAAAATTTGAGCAAAGATGAATAACTTCGGTAAGTGTTAATATACTTTTGTCATGAAGAATAAATTGACCTACGTCCAAAAGGAGCGATGTGTGTGTCGGAGTAGGATGTAAGGAAGTTAGGGGCGGCCAAAGCAAAACATGGCGTCAGCCCATGAAGTCATCAACCATTGGACTGCCACATGTTAATGAGTGTAGACTACCTGATCGGAATTCACGTAATTATCGTAACCAGTGGTTAGAGACTTTGAATGACATGGATTAAAATCGTTTGCAATGGCACGGATACAGCCCTTCTTCGTCTTTCCCAAAGATCTTAGCTACTGAATTTCTCATAAATTTTTCACTACACTAATTTGTATCTCCTTGAATCGTATCTTCGATGCCTAGCCTTTTCTATCACCACTAACACTGTTAATATCTTTATTATTATGGAGTTGGTTTGACAATTCCATCTTTCCGTGCGAACGGGGTATGGAAACTTGAACCGATATACATGCTGTTGTGACCTTGAATCGCTTTTACCTCGTCGATACTTTGTTATGACTTGACCTTGATTTGTCTAGTCTAGATTATGACCTTGGCGCGATAGTCTGAGCGGCTTAACCTTGAGTCTAGTACGCGTGAGTTCGAGATGGGGTAGAGAGAGAACTACTCTAGAACCTGATTGGTTGGCAAGCCCGCAAGTGAGAGAAGACAAGACAGTTGGAACACTCTGAATTCGGATTAGTGCAAAAATGTACATAAATAAATAAGTGAATATCCTGACCACAACGTACGATTATTTGGAAAAATACAATTATGCCCGAAACTGTGAATTAGGGTAGAAAATAAGATGCAGAATATAATGTTTAAATTACAATATTTTCGGAACAAAAGGTATGGCAGTGAATGCTACATAGAATGAAAGCTCGTTATGTAGAATAAAATAGGGACAAAAATAAATGTGTTTTACAAGGTTTGAATGAAATGAAATAACGTCCCAAAAAAATAGCTTTCGTAGTTGTCTGGGTTTCTTATTTCCCCGTTCACAGCACATACGTACCAGGTTCTGTGTTGCGACTGATTGACTTATGGGTTAAATTAATAGTCAACAACTTACATTGGTGGACCAATTTACTCTCACTACTCTAAAATCTTTAAATAATTCGACGTAAACAATAACAGCTTGCTTAATACAAACTGTTTGTAACCTACAGTAATTCGATAATACAACCTAGTTAGCGTTTTTTCAGCGAGTTAGTTTTCTACGGGATGGGGTCGCTAACCCCATACCCAACCCTCCTCCTTTATCCTGGCTTGGGGCCGGCAGAAGCCCCCGGAGGAACTCCAGGTGGAGTTGGTAATACAACCTAAAGAATATTATTTATTTATTTGAACACATATACTGGTACGAAGGGGCACCAAATACATATGCGCCACACAAGTCACTTGATTTATGTGCGGGCTCTGATACTACCCGGGTGTCCAAACCGAAGTAGGTGGTTTTCTTAGGGAGCCACACCCAGAGCCTTCGATCTAAAGATCTGATCCACAAGGCAGTGGGCAACGTCAGAAGATGCGGTCCCATGGTAACCGATGACCAACGTTTGGTTCACACGCCATTTTCTCCTTCAGAATACTGAAGTCCATGTACACCATTGGTTAAGAATCAAGGTTTCCTAACTCCCCTAGGTGGACCCTCCGTATCCACTAACCTGGTTAAAGCACCGGACACTCACTTTTTCATTCTCGCAATTTCGTAAACAACACCCCTCCACGAGAAAGCAGTCAGTAGGGCTTCACTGCAGTGGTTATATGCGCGTGCCCATGAGAGAGCATTTAGACAGGAAGAACTGACTCTCCACACCCTCGGCGGTACCAGAGCATTTGGGGTCACCTAAAGAAAATAATCTGCTATCTCATCTAAGGTCCCAAGTATAAAATGGTTACAGTGTTTTGTAGCATCATTAGGACAAGTTGTTTTGGAGACATGGGCAGTTATATTTTTAAGACTTCATGACATCTGGTATCACCTGTTGTGGTAAGAACCAGTGCTCTAAAATACGCATTCCTAATATCAAACCAACATACATTTGGCTAGCAAGAAAAGTCGTTCAAACTCTTGAAATCAGGCCTGAGGACGTTCTGCCTTTAAAACATACTTGACACTCTAAATCCAAGTATTCATAGTAAACCATGCATATAAACGCATTCTTAAAGGATAAAATCACGCTCATTAAGTTGACAATTTGTGGGTAGCATTGTCGTATTTTTGCTCAAACACCTGATCAACGTGTTCGCCCATGGAATTGAAAACACATCAAGTCGATAAAAACAAAATTATTAAGATTAATTTTCATGTTTCCATCGAAGTTGAAACGATGAACGACGATCACTACGTCGAAGAGACAACAGAAAGAATTGATTGTCTAAAAAATGTAGGTAGTCTTGTTTTGTTGCCACAAATTACCATGGCTAAAAAATTGTGCAGTTTCGTCCCTAGCTTTGATATCAGTAACTGGTTCGTTAAAACGGAAAGAAAATTTGAATATATGAATACCTCCATAAAATATCACTGTAGTTTACTTTTTGACGTACGAAAACCGTTAAGTTGGTTCTGACCATATAAACGAATTTCTTTGTTTTTTAAAGAATAAAACTTGATGACATGAACCTTTGGTCATATGGACAGAACTCCAATTCCCTAGAATAACAACCAACTGCTTTGGACAATTAAAGGTATCTTGTTATCAAGGCAAAAGACTAATAGTTACGTTTCTTATTCGTTTCACCTTAGTTCAAATCTGGAAACTATATCAACCATTCAGACAGGCGATGGATTAATGTGTACCAGATACTGACTGATTTGAAAGACCTGCATACTCAAAATCCAAGCACTAACTCTGGTTATGCAGTGACCGTATTATGAGATTCATTTAAGGACCCTGAAGTTAAAGGTCGATAACGGTTAACCTAACAGAGAGAAGCAGTACCACCAACTTGTGCCGATGAGGTATTTTACAGTATAAAGAGCATTACTTGTAGTCCGGTTGAGTGAGAAGAGGTTATAGACATCGACTATGGAGACAATACAATCTTAAATGGGTTTATGGGCTGCCGAGGGACTCGACAAGTGTTATGCAGGAGTATGCTCAACTCCCGATTTCGCTGGAATAACGTGAGTAGTTAACAAACTTCCGAATAACCAGAGTGAATCCTGAAACACATAACAGAAGTGAAATATGTCGTACAGCTATTGAAACGTTCAGCTTTTACAATGTTTTTAAGTCTAGCCCAAGCAACCAATAAGGTTGGAAATAAATAACTAATCACCTTGTTAGTCTTCTGAGATTAGTCCAATCAAAGTCACTGAGAGAGCTCTTAGATGTAGGGCAACCGTTAACTTGTCAAGCGTCCTTAGCTGTCAAAGACTGACTTATAACAGACGGTGGGATAAAATGCGAACAGCTTTCATGGAAATCACAATTAAAATACATAACGATTGATGCTCCAGTATCTGCCAACTACTCATAATGTTGTAAAGTAATACGCTTCTTCGTTTCAATAGATATCTTTAAACATATACCATTTTTACGTGGATTACAGTTTTCGTGTGGCGTAATGTGGGAATAGAGACGAACACGGAAGACGTTCGGGGTTATGCTACAGATTTTTAAGGAGTGAAAGCAAAAGTAGACAATCCGTCGTATGTTTGGACGAAAAGTAGACAATGCAGCGACATATGAAACACAGTGACAAAAAGGGAAAAATTTACAGCGCTTCACACAGACAAGCGAAAAGCAAACATTTTGGCGAGTTTCCCACATATTTTCTAACGCACTTCCCCCTTTGTTCGTCTTTATTTCCCCTTTATTAGTTGTTTGAGGCGTTTGTGAAATTTGTGAGAAAAAGCAAGGGAACGACCTGTTAGGCATGTGTACATGACTCACGTCTGAAGATATAAGTAATCAATAGTACTTAAAGAGGGACCGGACGTAAAATTATGACAGTTCAATAATTCGACACACAAAACTGCAGTGTGTCGTGCGTACTTGAAGTAACCGCGGCTAAGGCTATGTGACCTATATGTCGGATAACTTTGTCACATGATAGAGCAATTGAGGGGTGACTTTATCCGCAACGCAACCATGTAAACTTAATGTATCGCCCAGTGTAATAACGGTCATCTGTGCGTTCAAGTAACCACAGATTTTGTCATCTCATAATGTATTTTTATTTAAATAACTAGATTATGTTGTTCATTTTGCTCTGTTTTTAATTTTTATTCGCCACGTCCGACTGCGCTACACTGTACGTTCATTGCACGCTGGAATGACATCTCAAGTCATAGTTAGTTTAATCACATCGTTTATTGTTTACAGATAGACCGTCAGTGCATGATGTTACTGAAGAATGGTTTTTTGTACTGTAGACTATGTTTTTATGAACAACTGACTGTTGTCTTCAGTCTGAAAGCAATATATATGTATCCTTCGTCTTCTGTTAGGTAAGTTCAGATGGCCTATATTTCGTGTTTTGGTTTTATCGGCTAAATTATGTTCATTTTCCTCCGTTTAGTAACATGTCTGTGCAAATGGAACAATAATTATGACACTTGCTTGGTTTAGTATTCTTGGTTGCCGTTATAATTTAGATTAGTCGATAGAATTATAGTATACTTAAGTACAGTGCTTAAAGCCTGTAACGAAACGGATCAGTTTAGTAAGTAGAGCTGCCTGTTTTTAGTGAGTATATTGATTCAAATCAGTCTGATTAAAAATAGGAAAAAAACGTGCCTTTGATTCTGTTGCTGTCAGATATTATAAGATATCTTTAAGTACGTTTGGTGTTTATTTGTAGACAGTACGTCTAACACTGTTCATGTTTCAAAACCATTGTCATTAAACAATTTCCCTAGCAATAACATCGGTATCAGGATAGCTAAGTGTCTGAGCTTTTACTTGCCTGCAGAGGAGCAGTATACAGTCTTAGAAGATGAGTGTTCTGTGTCTCAATTAAATGCAGCTGGCTGTGAACAGATGTTAAGAATCTTTTTCGCAACTGGGACCTTTAGTTTATCAGACACTAACTGTTGTAGCGGTAAATAAATCCCCAAAATAAATAGCTCTGTAAGTTTTCGACATTGGATTCTGACCAGATTAGTTTTAGTTGACTCACCAAGCTGAAGGCGCTCGGTCATGCATCCGCACCAGACCACGTGTGGGAACGCCGTGCTCAACATCTACTGCAATCGCTAGCCAGACTAGATCAGACAATTCCGACATATTGGCAATCGTCAAATACAACTTCTGATCTCCTCGATTCTGTCTTTTGATTTCTCTTGGTGGGTACGAGTTATATTAGGTGTTACTGGTAAAAGCGTTGTCAAACACTGAATACCTGTGCCATCTTCACTCTGCTTGTATGTCTTCCTGTTAAACTAGACTCAGATGCATGGGAATACTTAAATGAGAGCAAAATAATAAAAGCATTGCGATACGGTACTAAGTCCATGTTATGCTTTGCACAAGTAACAGTAGCTCACCTGATCTAATATTCATGAACTCAAGGTAAATCACAACTGCATAAATTCTTTGCTAAAAAACATGTAATTTGGTTATTTATCTATTCCAC